AATTTAAAAAAAAAAAAAAAAAAACACTGTAGTATCTAATAGGTACTCAATTAGCAATATACACGAATACAATTAAAAGCAGAATAAAACTGGTATTCAGCAGTAAATGCAAAACAGTTACTTTTGACTGAAGGTGTCTGGCAAATCTTCACAGAGAATGAGATGAGCTTTGAAGAATGAGTAAGATTTAAATAGAAAGTGAGGGAACTTAAAAGAGAATGAGCTGAAGTGTGTGCCTTCAAGTCAATTCCAAACCATACCGACCCTGTAGGACAGAGAAAACTGCCCTCAGTTCTTAGGCTGAAATCTTATGAAGGAATGAAAATAGAAAGGTAAGTTGAAGTGGCCTTAATTAGCAAGCTAAGGAGTGTGACACTCCTTTTGATATCAGGAGGGAGGTAGCCTAGGTTTTTGATTAGCTGAAGGTTAAATATGTGATTTGGGAGAACAGATGTTATGGATCATGATAAATTAGAGGTGTTATGATTCTCATCCTATCTAGTAAGAATGGACTGTTAGTGACAGAATTTATATATGGAGTTTAAAGTCTTCTCTTAAAAAGGGTATTAATGTTATGAGGAGTGGTACAAAAAATACACGTTTTGCCCGCACGCTGCTTGGTGAGACTAAATATAAGTACAAGCAGCCATTGATTTATCAAGGAACTCATTTTTACAGCCATTTCTCCCATTCCTGTTCTCTTGTTTCTACTGACTTCATACTTCTTCACCTCCTAACTGCTGGTACCTTTTTCTTTCTACATAAGGCTTGTTATACTTAAGCTCAATTCTGGGTTCTCAGCTTAGCTCTTCCTCAGTTTTGTCTCCTGAAATGTTACCTTCTCCCTCTCTACTGGTTAAGGGGTTTCACTGTGCAGTTCACTGAGTTGCTTGCAGAACAGTTTACTTTCATTTTGTTGGATACTTTGCATACTCTCTCATTACATAAGTGTCGTAAATGAAAGATTCTTTATGCTAGGGCGCAGCTAGTAAGAAAATTCTTGCAGGGTATAATTATACTAGAAATTGTAACTATCAAATAGTGAGAAACATTGAACTAATCCCCTGACAAATGAGGTAACTATGGATTACTAGTCAGTTGAGGACTTCACATTACTAGCCACCATTCATCATCACAGGCAAGAATATTAAAAGAATTTCCTGCTTTAGATTGTCAGTGGGTGTGTTAAGCTCCTGAACAATCTCTAACAGAATTGTTTTGTTTCTATCTGGAAGAGTCCTGGCATGACAACACACAAGCTAGGATGGATTTAGAGTATGAGTAATGTGACTGGACTTACGGGATTATAAATAATTATAATGTTTCCTTTTATGCAGAACTGAAATGTATATTAGTGACATTTTTCCCTGTTGCATAGGCTTCTTTTACATCCTCAGTGTTGTAGCAAGCATAAAAAGCCCGATAATTACAAAACACTAAAACAGTTTCTTTTATAGTTGGACCATGGATGTTTTTTGCACACGGGGATCCAGGCACCTCAAAGCATAGCTACTCATCTGGATAACCAGGCTCCAGTTGAGAGTCCCAGAGCTATTTCTCGCACCAATGAGAGTGACCCGGTGAGTTGCTAATGTGTATATGAGTTTTTCTCAAGGTTTATAATTTTTGTGTTGTTACCTTCATTTTACTATCAAGAAAATGGAAACCCAAAGAAGCTATGCAGATTTACATTCAGTCAGATAGACATTATAGCTGAGACAACATTCTGAAATTCAGCTCTTTGCAGTCCTTACCTGATACATAAAGCATTCAGGTCAATACAGCTTTCTTCTGATCTAATCCCTACCAGTGAACTCACCGCAGTACCAAAGATTTTGTTGGGCATAAAGTAGATGCACAATAAATACTAAGTTCAATTACTTACTTTATGATGGGTTCAATTCTTTATTTTATAATGTATTAACAAACTTTTCCTTAAATGACCAGATAGTAAAAATCTGATCTGTGGGCCATAATGACCTGTGATGTAATAATTCAGCTCTGCCATAAACAAATGGGCATGACTGTGTACCAGTAAAACTGTATTTATAAAAATGGGTGACTGGTGCCATCATTTATCAAGTCCCAGTATGGAGAGTCCTAGAGAAATCAAATTTACCTGCCAAGGATCACATAGAAAGGCAGGTACAGAACCCAGGTATCCTAATAACCAATTTGGTATTGTTTTCTACCTTTTTAAATGGATTTCCTGGTGCCTGGAAAGGGAATAATCTTGATTTGCTATAAGAACAGCATATCTTAAGTGAAGTTTGTTAGCACAAGTTAGGATTCCAGCCATAGTCAGTATTGTATTTTCTAGTTTAAGTCCCATTAGGCTAAATACTGATTTATTTTCTCTGTCCCCAACATTATTGCGGCCTCTCATAAATGACATTAGCAGTGTGGTCTGTGCTAAGATGTGAAAGTAACCAACAGCTTTTCTTTCTCTGTCTGTCACTACTCTCTGAATCTTTCCATCTGTGCAAAAGGAAAAAAGAAATCTCATTACCTAAAACATCTCAGCAGGGTCCGTGTTATGCTTCTAGTGTTCACCTATTTTCACAAGCACAAAATTAAATAGAATAAATGAATGAAGTCATTGAAATGTCTTTCAACTTCCTCTGATATTTTAGTCTCTATCTGTGAACTCCTCTGAGGTTTCTATGGAAACCACAGCATGTAGATGATCTTGTCACATGACTGGAGCATCTTTATACACAGCACAGAAAAATCCAGATGGTGAGAATTATCTCTAGCGTTCCCACATACAGGGTTTACATTGCTGAGCAACTGCCTTCATCATTCATACCACGACCAGCTTCAGGTGCACACTGTTGGTTTGAGGACAGCAACTAACATTTTTTGTCTAAGATCAGAAATGAAAAATATCTTTTCTAGTTCTGAGACATGTTTCCCCACATGGTCTAGCAGGCCTTATTGACTTTTCCAGAATCTTTGTCATTTTGTCTATGTCCTCATTTGACCTGTTTGCATTTTTAATTCATAGGCCAAGCATGGAGAGCAACATGAGGGTCAACACTATAACGTACCCCTCCAGGATGTGAAGAATGTATTTCCCCATGGCTTGCCTCCTCGCTTTGTAATGCAGGTAGTCAAAACAGGGAAGGGAATTGTGGGATGGGAAGGGCAGAGCACAAGCTGTTGGTAGCAGGGGGTTGGGGTGAAGTAGAAAACTATAAAATACAAAAGATGAAATTTGAATCCAAAATACAGTTAAATTTAGCTATTGATTACCTTTTGTGAACAACACATTCAACAACTACAGTTACCTTAAGCTAATGTTTTATCTTCTGTTATCTATCTTAAGTCTTTTTTTGGTGCCAGGTAAAATACTTGTAAATAAATAAACAATATCCACGTTTTCCTTGGGCTAGCCAACAGGTTTCTAGAAACTTTGGCATTCAAATAAGTGAATTTAATATTTGCTTTAACAAGATACCATGAAAATTGTTAATATGCTGCAGGGAAAAAAAAAATCATAACACATTCCTGAGCCAAATAGAAATGACATTTGTATTAGATGCATTCATTGTTCTTGTTTTTCAAGGATTTTCTTCTAGTTTTGTGGCCCACGGAGTGTAATCTTGGGTCATTTTGTAGCCATTTAAAGATTCATGATTAACTGCACACACAGTTTATTGGCATAATTGGTTCTTCTCACTAGTTCCTGCTGAATTATTTTAAGCCTTAGAAATTATTTCTACTTAATGAAATACCAGACTTGACATGCAGGTGATTTTTAATGTAAGAGCCAGAGGATATCATTTCTTCACTATGCTTTGTTTCAGAAAATCTGATGAGATACCAGTAAAGGAGCTAATTCTAAACCATAGACAGCCTTATCATGAATTATTGGAACTGAGACACAACAGAAGTAAGATATTAACAATGGAATCTCTAGCTTCAGACTTAGGAGGGTCTTTTGTTGAGCCAGGGTCCAAGGTCTCCAAGAAAGATACACATTACACACAGGCACTGGTTAGAATAATGCTTTACTTACACAGAGAAGACACCAAGCAATGGTGGGCATTGGTCCCTCATGGCAGGTCACTCCCTGCATCTGACACAGGGCTGGTGGTCTTCACACACCCCTTTCGTGCTGAATTTGAAGGACCTTGTTCTCTTCCCTGCAGGAACAAATACAGAAATGGGGTTGACCAGGTGCTATGTGCATGCACACATAAGCAATTCCAGGAATATTAACATGTTCAGAGTGAGAGGGATATGTTACTATGAACCAGCTGCTATGGAATGTGTTTTGGGTCAAGATGCCCTGAGAAAGGGAGTCTGCCAATGCTTTTATCCTCTCCAGAAAGCCAGGGCAACACATCTGGTCCTAAGCACAAGAGTCATCTGTGCCTCACAGTGAAAGGTGGCAGGCTGCACTTGGCGTGCTCCCTCCCACAGCCCACCTTCCAGCTTTTCCTAGGACCCCAATAAACAAAGCAGCAAAGTGACTTAAAGTTCTGGTTTGCCCATTGTCCTTTGTGGACAGTGAGCTGCATGTCCATAGCATGTATACCATTTGGGGGACTAAATCTTTGGTTGATCTCCTCAGAAGTTGCAGTACATTGGCTGTGCACCAAGTCTGGTTAAGAGGGCAGCTTTCCCCCATAGGCCTGCCAGGTAAAGCCTTTTATAATTGTATATGGTCAGGCTTGTAAAATTGTGCATAACTTTTTATCCAGGAGCCAAAGTCCTCAACTCCTGCTTAACCACCAGTGCCCTAGAGCGAATGATTCATCCATTCCTTCTGTAATTTCCATTTACGAAATGGCCAACTCCCCCAGTATTATTGTGTATTTTAGTACTATTATACCTAATGATAGGAGCTCTGGTAGCATAGTGCCTAAGGCACTTGACTGCTAACCAGAAGGCTGGCGGTTCAAACCCACCAGCCACTCCTCAGAAGGAAGGTTGGGCAATCCTACTTCCGTAGTGATACTGCCTCAGAAACCCAAGGAGGGGTCGCTATGAGTCGGGGCCGACTTGACGGCAAATAACAACAACAACAACATACCTAATGATGACATTTTTGTTTTAATATCTGTATTATGTTTCTGAAGGTTGTACTTTCCATTACGTTTGTACTTATCTGTCAATTCCTTCTCCAATACAGTTGTTTCATTAGGATGCCTTTAAAAAATATGGATACTATTTTAAACCTCATCTGAAATATTTGCAAATAGTATTTGCATAGATGTTGTTGTTGTTGTTATGTGCCATTGAGTCAGACCCGACTCATAGCAACCCCTCCTTGGGTTTCTAAGATGGTATCACTACAGAATTGCCCAACCTTCCTTCTGAATCAATTGCTGTTAGTAGACATTATTAAATACTTTATTTGCAAATCCCTTCCACACTTATCAGTGCTTCCTAAATTTTCCCTCAAACTTTTCCTGGTGGTAAAAGGGGAATGAACACATAAACTCTGACATCAGTATGTCAGGCCTTAAAATTGTGGGGAGCTGGTCACACCTGCCCCTGAGTTCCCATGTACTATATATAATTCCCTCTAGAAAAGTCTAGATGGTTAGAATAGTAAAAATTAACTGAAAATAAAAAGAATGAACATTTATTGAATGTTTACCATATGGTAGATACTTTACTAAGTGCTTTACACACTTTAATATTTACATCAACCCTAAGTGATACCCAGAATGAAATAGATGTCTATGTTGTTTATAGATTTCAATTAGCTGATGTTTTATCTGTACTTCATTTATAGGAATAATCAAAAGCTGTTACATTACTTAGTGTGGGAACATATGTTTCAGTCTTCATATAAATTATGTGAGCTAGACTTTTAAATTCAATACCAACCCATCCCATTCTAGCTGAATAAATTAAAGACATGAAGTTTGGTGCCCTTGGTTGCTGTATTAGGTTCAGTATCTGTAATAACAAGAACAGGTTAGAAGTTCTACAGCCCACCTTCTCCTTCTTACTTCCTTGTTTTGTTAGGTGAAGACATTCAATGAAGCTTGCCTGATGATAAGGAAACCAGCCCTAGAGCTTCTGCATTACCTGAAAAACACCAACTTTGCACATCCAGCTGTACGATATATTCTCTGTATCCTTTCATGCCTGCCTGGGCACTCTGAGCCAATGCTTTCGCCTCTCAAATGAGGGAAAAGAAGACATAGGTACAATCGTATCCCTTCTGGTGATGTTTTCTTTTAACGACAAGTGCTTCAGATGGGGAGAAGGGAACAGGAAAAACCCTCAGTCTTTGTCATGTTACTCATTTCTGTGCAAAACAGGACTGGCTGATACTGCATATCCCAGATGGTAAGAACTTCCCATCTTCATTATGCCAGGCTTCGTTATACTGGTACTTTGGAATCCCTGTGGCTTCAATTTTCTGACAAGCTTCTGAGGGCTAAAAGAAAAGACTTTGCTCCAGCTGCAGAGCAGTCTGAGCTAGTTCATCATCATTTCTTCATGATAATAGTGTCAAGCAAGGTTGCAAGATGTAAATGTGATGAGGAAATTCAGCTAAAAGCTCCCCAGAACCTTCTGGTACTAAGAATAAAGTGTTTGGGCCCAGCAGTCCTTACTTTGATATCTAACGTCCATGAGCATCAACACCCGCCTTAGAGGTCAAACAGGCTTTGTTGCCGTCAGTTAACAATTTTGACCTCAGAGCCTTTGACATGGTGCGGTTTATCAACAGTCTAGGGTTGTCAATATGAATCTTAAAAACTTTCCTCTTCACACTTTGCATATATCCCTTGTTTGTTCAGTGTTGTGTGCATCCATGTTTTCTGACTCAGCTTCTAAAACTGCCAGGGAGCAGAGATCACATTTGATCCACTTGGTATGCCTTGTGCAATGATTGTAATGATAATATTTACTCTAAGATGGGCCAGACAAAAAAGTAAATCCCTAAAGCAAGAAGACCTTAAATATATATGCAGAAGTAAAGGTACTTCCCATGATTTAGAGAGGCTTAAATTATTTTGAGTTGAATGCAGTCAGTTTTTGCCTATTTCATTTTTGTGTGCGTTTTCTTAGCTCATCGTTGGGTGAAAAATTGTCGGAATCTTATGCAGTCTACCTACAACAAACAGCGCTTGGACCAACCCTTAGAGGCTTCAACCTGGCTAAAGAATTTCAAAACTTCAAATGAGCGCTTCCTGAGCCAGGTGACTAGACCCCCAGAAGTTTGGTGCTGGGCAGTCTTCATATAGATTCTGTCTGCCTTATCTACCTGGCAGGTAGACTGTGTGGAACTGATACTGCATTTGGAATAACTCTGCCATTTGTATTTCTTTCATACATTTTCCTCACAGTGGATTCACAACTTGAAATTCATCTATCCATGTGAAATAAATGGCCAACATTAAGCTGTTCCCATCTTGTGGGTGGCAAAGTGAAATACAGATAGATTCATTGACTTTTCCAGGTTCACAGCCTCAAATTCCCCACAAACACATTTACAACTACATAATTTTCTCCATATAAGAGCTTTTAAAAGTTCTAGATAGAAACAGGCTAGAATGCATTCACTTCCATAATGAATCTTAAAAGTACCTGGAAAATAGATTAAAACTGGCTCCTAATAATTTAGCCTCCCACCTTATCAACAAGGGATGAGTTCACCCTTAGGTTAAGTAACCAAAAAAAACACGACTGCCAGATCTGACTCATAGTGACGACTCCTTGGGTTGCCGAGGCAATATCACTACAGAAGGAGATTGCCCAGCCTTCCTTCCAAGGAATGGCTGGTGGGTTTGAGCCACCAGCCTTCTGGTTACCAATCAAATGGCTTAGGTGCTATGCCACCAGACCTCCCTAGGCTAAGTATAGGGTGTTTTTTTTGTTGTTGTTGTTGTTGTTGATTTGTTTGCTTTTAGATAAAAGTTCAAGAGAAGTATATCTGGAACAAGCGAGAAAGCACTGAGAAAGGCAGCCCTCTGGGAGAAGTGGTTGAACAGGTAAAGAGGAAGATACCTTGTCCTACCCAGAAGAACTCATAGGATACTGTAACCCATTGTCTCTCTCTGTCTCTATCTACACAGGGCATAATGCGGGTGAGGAATGCCACAGATGCAGTTGGGATTGTGCTGAAAGAGTTAAGGAGGCAGAGTTCATCAGGTATATTTCACCTCCTGGTGGCAGTGGATGGAGTCAATGCTCTCTGGGGGAGGACCACACTGAACAGAGAAGATAAAAGCCCGGTAGGAAAACTGAGTTTCTCTATTCCAATTTCTAATACTGTCATTTGCAGAGACAGGGACATAGCCTAAGGAGGCCTGGTGGTACAGTGGTTAAAGCATAGGACTGCTAACCAAAAGGTCAGCGGTTTGAACCCATCAGCCACTGCCCCATAGAAGAAACATGAGGCAGTCTTGTTTCCATGAAGATTTACAGCCTGTAAACCCTGTGAGGCACTTCTACTGTGTCCTATAGGGTCTTTATGAGTCAGAATCGACTGAATGGCAGTGGGTGGTGGGACACAGCCTTATAAACCATATATTTCCTTGTCCTAGGGTTATGTGAATTAATATGTACAGTGAAAATAATGTCAAACACAAAGTGATGCCAAAAGCTCCAACCTCCATTGAAAACCTAGGGATAGTGTTCTGAAGAGCATGACAGCAGAATCTTTGCTGTGGGCTTTTGTTTTATTTTTCATTTTTATGGTCTTTCTCTATTCTCTTTTTAGAACAAGGCTATATGGTCTGAGTAGAGAAGATCAGAAGCATCAAGGAAGAGGGGGTGTTTGGGACAGTGGGTGTTTTCTCCCTTGGTGATATTTTTAATCTCCAAAAGTACAGCAACTTCACGGCCTTTAGGCCTTCGGCCATAGAAAGGAAGGCATTTTGCATTTCTTGGTATTTGCCTCTGTAAATGCACCTTCTCTGTCCTTTCTGCATTCTTTCCATCCCAGACCTAGAAAGAAGCTTATCTCAGAGACTGTACCTCCAGGCAATACAGTTTACTTGTGGTTGAGGATTTTTTTATTGTTGTCAGTTCACTTGTCTCAGGGAAGCTCCAGAAAAAGCAAGTAACAGTCTTCTCTGTTTCTCTCCTTGTCCAATGTGCAGATTGCTCCAGAAGAACTAGCGCTTATTTACAATCTGAGAAAAATGGTGAAAAATGATTGGGTGAGTGTATATGATACTTGACACATTTGAGAAAGAAATTTGTTTTTATTTTAAAGACATTCTACTATTGCAATGATGATAATTTCCAGTCTCTCAGATTTTATGACCAGGAAGTTCTTAGGTCATATCTTATTGAATACCCCTATCTGTACCAAGCTAGGAGTAAGGTCTCTATCAAAATCTATGTATTTGGTTTCCATTCTTTCCACAGGACTAGAGTAAGTTTATTCAAGCCGTTTTGTTTAAATGTTGGCCTTATTTTACTTTGTTTGCAATTGTTCAGACTGTTTTTTATCTTCTCACCATGTTCAGAAAAGATTTTAAGACCCAGAATTATGTCTTGATAAATTTCAGTTCACACGGCAACTTACTGTCAAAGCTAAATCTAGAAATAATAACCACTTTCATTGCCATTTAACTGCTAAACAAAATCTACAGATGATTAAAATGCACTTTTTTGTATTTCATCAGCTTTTTCTAATTCAGTTTTTCTCTTTTCTTTCAGCATGGAGGTGCCATTGTGTTGACCTTGAGCCAGACTGGTTCACTGTTTAAGCCCAGGGCAGCTTACCTACCCCATGAGTTGCTGGGAAAGGTCAAAGCACTGAAAATTTTGTTTCTCCTTAGATAATCATTCTGTCTAAAGAGAAACTTTTTTTTGTCTTTTATCTATTTATTTTGATGTAATTTACAGTATAGTAAAAAATTTTATTCTATATACCCTTCACCCAGATTTCTAAAATATTAACATTTTATCTTATTTGCTTTATTGTTTTCCCTCCTCCCTCCTCTCTCTACATATTTTTCTCTTTCTATCCTCTCTCTCCACTCTTCTTTCTCTTCCTTTTCCTCTCTCTCTCTGTCTACACATTTTTCTTACAAATTATGTGACAATACCAGCAGACAATGGTACCCCTTTACTTCCAAATACTTTAATGGGTATTTTCTATAAACAAAGACATTCTATTACATGACCCATAGCACAGTGATTGAAATCAGGAAACTGACATTGATATAATATTGTTACCCAATATCTTGTATAAAAAAAGAAAGTCCTAGATTATGTGGTATATTCAGTTGTTATCTGTTTATTTTCCTGTAATCTGAGACAGTTCCTCATTCTTTCTTTGTAATCTTGACATTTTTGAAGGTCAGATACTTAATAGGTTATGAGGTTGTTAGATGTTTCCTCTTGTTTGATTTAGATTACTCACTTTTAGCAGGAATATGACATAAATTATGTTGTGTCTTCCCATCACATCGTATCAAAAGATACATGAAATCTGTCTCTCTTATTACTGGTGATGCTAACGTAGTTATAGTAGTCTCTACCTGGTTTCTCCTCAGTAAAGTCAATAGCAAGTAATAGTAATACTAATAGTATTCATATTACTATTAGTAATTAGTAAGTAAAAGTAATGGTAATTAGCAAGTATCTTGTGGAGATATGCTTTGAGACTAGGTAAATAACCTGTTGGCTTAGTACCTAAGGCATTTGACTGCTAAACAGAAGGCTGGTGGTTCAAACCCACCAGCCACTCCTCAGAAGGAAGATTGGGCAGTCTACACAAAAATATGATCTAGATTCATCTTGTACCCGAGTCTTAGAATCAGTCATTTCTCCAAGGAGCCATTTTAGAAAGAGTTCATTTTAGAAGAGAATGGTATTTAGAAACAAAGACCTGCTGTTTGGGTCTCAATGCTTTGAGGCCCTCTCAGCAGAGCTAGTAAATATGCAACAGTCATATACATGTACATATGTGTGTGTGTATAAAATCTCCATACTCATCTATATGTTTCCCTAATTATATGAAAAATCATGAGTTCATACTGATACTTCCAGTTCCAATACATCACTATAGCATTCATCAGATCCTTTCCACATTTGAGAAGTCTGCTCTCATTATCCAAATTATTTTTACTTATTTGCTCAGCCCTAGAATACACTAAGAGTAGTTTCAGAATTACTCACACTTGACTGTGAAAAAGAGGCTACTAGTCACCAGCCTTTGGTATTTGTTTAGTGTAATTTTTGTATTTCCTCTGACAATCTATAGTCTAAGTACTCTGTTTAGAAGTTACTTGGGTTAGTTCTTCCCCCTCTCCTTAAGAATTATGATTGAAATTTGAAAAACACTGATTCATTTGTTTCAGTTTATGTTCCATTGAGTCGTCTTCATCCTTTTTGATTTATTTTCAGTTTTTGAATATTTGAAACAGTAACTTGGATCCAAAAGTCAGAGCTTACCCCCCCCAAAAAAAGTACAGTAGTCCCTTCTTATCCTCAGTTTTGCTTTTAGTTACTGTTGCTAATCTCTTACTATACCTAATTTATTAATTAAACTTTATCATAGGTATGTATATATAAGACAAACAGTATGTATAGGGTTTGGTCCTGTTTGTAGTTTCAGGCACCCACAGGGGTCTTGGAACATACCCCCATAGATAAGTGGGAACTACTGTATGTGCAAACAATTGGCAGCCTTCCTTTTTAAAAATAAAAACTATGTTGCCAGGAAGAGTAGCAGTAACCTGCATCTCGAGGCCCATACACGCAGGATAGATAGATAGGGAGTAGAATAGAAGCAAAACTTGGTCTTCAGAGTGCTTAACTCTGATTGGTTTCTCTGCAGACTGCTCACTTAACTAAAACTGTATTTTTATTGTTTTCTACCTCCAGGAAGGATTTGATGCCCTGGACCCCTTTATTCCCATCCTGGTTTCCAACTACAACCCAAAAGAATTTGAAAGTTGTATTCAGTATTATTTGGAGAACAACTGGCTTCAGCATGAGAAAGGTCAGGTTTGTGTTGTTTTTGTTTTTGTTCCATTCAGGGCTTTGTGCTCACAGAAAAGTCCCGCTGAATCAGAGCCTTGATCACTTACTTCTTCCCTTAAATGCAGCCTGTAATTTGTATTTCATCTTTTTCCCTTTAACCTGACTTCTTTCTGGCTAATTAAATGGTACAGAAAGGGAAAGGGTTTAAGGTTTAATTTATAAAAGAGATTATATCTCTCCCTAAATTGTCATTCTGAATAAAAAGCTCATTCCGAAGGAGGAAGCCAGGCCAAGTCCGGCCACTGGGCATTTTCCAGAGATTTGGGTTGCTGCCATTTTCTCACTATTGTATTCATTCATCATTCAACAAACTTTGATTAATTGATGTCTCTGGTACCCACAGAATAATTCATACTACGTAGAGACCAACCCTATAAATGAATCCTTGCCACAGCTGTCCAAGATTATGTATTATTTGAAGATACAGAGAGCAACGATTGACAAAAACAGGACGAAATTTGTTAACTTTGACTGAAGGCATCCTAGCTATTCATTATCTTTGCCCTTACGTGACATGAGTAGGATATAAAGGAAAAGGAAGGTGATCCTGTCACTTGATATTAGAGAGATAACTAATTGGAGGAGGTTATTAAAGAGTAAAGAGTATCAAAGAACCTGCAGTACTGTGGGCTGGAAGGAACAAAGGAGAGAATTCCAAGAGGGTTGGGAGCTTTGACAAAGTCCTAAGGTTCAAAAGATACTTTTGGGAAGGAGCGGAAAATGCTGTGTTAAAGGAATAGAGAGAGAGGGAAAACCTATGCATAGAAAAAAATAATAGTTTAATGAGATAAAGGATCTAGAAGTGACATCTCTTGGGAGATACTATTGAATTATATCTGAATGTAATCTGGATAATACAGCTTCTGGCTACAGAATTTTCCGGGAAACACAAATGCAACAGGAGGAAATTTGCACTTACCTGTTTTGATCCATTTTAGCTCATACAGATGAAGGGAAAAAGGAGCTGCTATTTCTAAGCAACGCAAATCCTGGGCAGCTGGAGCGTCTCTGTGCCTACCTCTAGACCATGGTCACATCATACCTGGACACCCGGTCACATGGAAGCCCCACAGCACACAGCACCGCAGTCAGGCTCCCAACCTTCATTGCAGTGGTGCCCTGTGAAGTGATTGTAATGGCAGTAAGACAGCCCTTGTTCCTGCAGCTAATATTAGTTTATTGAATGTGTTTTTCACATTTTAAGATAATCATGGATCTTTTGCTTAAAAAAATAAAATTATCTTTTTTAAAGTATTTTGTTATATTATAATATGGAAGGAGCCTTACTGAATTTCCCTTATGTCTGAAGAGACTCAATTCTACAAAAATTTTCAGGAATTCTATTTCCAAACTAGATTCAATTCAGAATATCACTAGGCACCAGCTCACTCATTTCACTTCATTGATACTTTTACTCCTTGATGGGCCCTAAGAGCCTTACTGAAACTACAGCAGAGTTTCTGGCAGCTTTGTGTGCTACAGTCCCTTTCTACCAGTTCCCAGAAAATTCAGCCCTAAAACTCTACAGTATACACTGTATGTAATAAATTAACTTATCTTTAAGACATAGGGTACTACTAACTATTTACCAACCTTGGAAGAACTGCAAAGTTATCATAAAAGTTGAATTCTCTCACTATACCCAGGTTGATAGAGTATAAGGAATCAGAAGTCTGATTCCTAGGTCTGCCACTGAGTAGCTGTATGTCTTACGGATTCTTAGCCTATATAGTATGTAATGGTGATAAAGATGCCAAACCTGTAGGAGTTTTGTAAGAATCAAGTTACATAATACATGTAAAATGCTTAACACATAATATTGTTAGTTGCCTTTGAGTCAACTACAACTCATGGGGACCCCATGTGCAACAGAACAAAATGTTTCCCAGTCCTATGACATTTTCACAGCTATTATATTTGAATTCATTTTTGTGACCACTGTGTATTTTGAGTGCCTTCTAACCTAGAAGGCTCATATTCTAGCACTGTATCAGATAATATATTGTTGTGATCCATAGGGATTTATTTACTTGGCTGATTTTTTTTTTGGAAGTAGATTGCCAGACCCTTTGTCGTAGTCTCTTTCAGTCTGGGGCTCTGCTGAAACTTGTCCACCATGGATGACCCTGCTGGTATTTGAAATACCAGTGGCATAGCTTCCAGTATCAAAGCAACACAAGCCAACACAGTATGACAAACTGACATGTTGTGGTAATGCGTAATAGGTACTCATTAAATGGCAGTGGTGGTGTTACTAGGTACCATCAAGTCAGCTCCAACTCATACCAACACCACATACTTCGGAACGAAACACTGCCCGGTCATTCATCATCCTCACAGTCCTTGCTCTACCTGAGCCCAACATTGCAGCCTCTGTGTCACTCCATCTTATTAAGGGTCTTTCCCGTTTTGCTGACCCTCCACTTTACCAAGGATGATATCCTTATCTAGGAATGTCCCTTCTGACAACATGACCAAAATAGATGAGACAAAGTCTGGCCATTCTCGCTTCCAAGGAGCATTCTGGCTGTGCTTCTTCCAGGGCAGATTAATTTGTTCTTCTGGCAGCCCATGGTAGTTTTCAGTGTTCTTCCCCAACGCCACAACTCAAAAGCATCAAGTATTCTACAGTCTTCGTTATTCATTGTCCACCTTTCACATGCATATGAAGCACCTGAAAATACCATGGCTTGGGTTAGGCACACCTTAGTCTTCAAAGAGACATGTTTGCTCTTCAGCACTTGAAAGAAGTCTTTTGCAGCAGATTTGCCCAGTGCAATACATCATCTGATTTCGTGACTACTGTTTCCACGGGTGTTGACTATGGAACCAGTAATACGAAACCTTTGACAACTTCAGTCTTCTCTCCATTTATCATGATGTTGTTTTGTGGTCCAGTTGTGAGAATTTTTGTTTTCTTTATGTTGAGGTGTAATTCAGACTACGGTACTCTTTACCGTAGTCATCCTCACTTTCAGCAAGCAAAGTTGTCATCTGCATATCACAGGTTGTTAATGAGTCTTTCTGTTGCCACATTCTTCTTCATGTAATGCAGTTTCTCTGAATTATTTGCTCAGCATACAAGTTCGCCATTTCCTTCAGTGCAGCTTCAATTTATTCCTTCAGTACCATTAGTTCTTCAGCATATGCCACCTCCTGAAATGAATGAACATCAACCAGTTCGTATTGGTACAGTGCCTCTGTGTATTCCTTCCATCTTCTTTTGATGCTTCCTCCATCATTCAGTATTTTTTCCATAGAATAGTCTAATATAGCAACTCAAGGCTAAAATTTTTTCATCAGTTCTTTCAGCTTGAGAAATGCCGAGGGTGTTCTTCCCTTTTGGTTTTCTAACTTCAGGTCTTTGCATATTTCATTATAGTAACTGGCTTTGTCTTCTCAAGCTGCTCTTTTGAAATCTTCAGCTCTTTTATTTCTCATTTCTTCCATCTGCTTTAGCTTGCCCACTCAAGGGCAAGTTTCAGAGTCTCTTCTAACATCCATTTTGTTCTTTTCTTCCTTTCTCGTCTTTTTAATGACCTCTTGCTTTCTTCATGGATGATGCCCTTGATGTCATCCCACAATTCCTCTGGTTTTCAGTCATTGGTGTTCATTGCATCAAATCTATTCTTTATATGGTCTCTAAATTCAGGAGGGATATTCTCAAGGTCATATTTTGGTTCACATTAACTTGTTTTAATTGTCTTCAACTTCAACTTGAACTTGCATATGAGCAGTTGATGGTCTGTTGCACAATCAGCTCCTGGCTTTGTTTTGGCAGATGATACTGAACTTCTCCATCACCTCTTGCCACAGATATAGTCAATCTGATTCCTGTGTATTCCATCTGGTAAAGTGCATGTGTATAGCCATCACTTATGTTGTTCAAAAAAGATATTTGCAGTGAATAAGTAGTTAGTCTTGCAAAATTCTATCATGCGATCTCCAGTTCTGTCACCAAGGACATATTCTGCAACTACTGGTAATTCTTTTTTTTCCAAATTTTGCATTCCAGTTACCATTGATAATCAACATATTTTGATTGCATTTTGGTCACTTTCAGACTGCAGAAGTTGGTAGAAATCTTCAATTTCTTCATGTTTGGCTTTGGTGGTTGGTGCATAGATTTGAATAATAGTAGTAGTAACTGGTCTTTCTTGTAGGTGCATGGATATTATCCTATCACTGACAGCATTGTACTTCAGGACATATCTTGAGACACTCTTTGTGACGATGAACGCCACACCATTCCTCTTCAATTTGTCTTTCCCGACATAGTAGATCATATGGTTGTCTGATTGAGAATGGCCAAAACTGGTCCATTTCAGCTCACTAATGCCTAGGATATCGATCATTATACCTTCCATTTCATTTCTGACAACTTCCAGTTTTCCTAGATTCATACTTTGTACATTCCATGTTCCAGTTATTAATGGATGTTTGCATCTGTTTCTACTCATTTTGAGTCATGCCACATCAGCCAGTGGAGGTCCCAAAAGCTTTACTCTATCCATATCATTAAGATTGTCTCTGAGGAGTCAGCTCTTCCACAAATATTTGAGTGTCTTCCAACCTGATGGACACATCTTCTGGCAGTATATTGGACAGCATTTCAGGGCTATTCATAAAGTTTTCCAGTAATATATCAGTGTTTCACTGCTATTTGTTAGGTTTTCACTGGCCAATTGTTTGAGAAGTGGATGGCCTCTTTCTTCTTCTGAGTCTGTCTTAGCCCAGAAGCTCCACTGAAACCTGTCCACCATGGGTAACCCTGCTGGCAACACATAAGTCACCGGAGAATGACAAACTGACAGACAAGTTTCATCTCCCTTAGTTATTCTTAACCCCACTGCTCCCACCTGCCTTGGCATATGGCCTTAAAATATAGCCTCCACCAAGGGAAAGGAGCCCCTGTGCACTGCGCCCACCCACCTCGGTCCCCAGCCTTAAAGTAGAGCCTCCTCCAAGTGAAAAGCAGCACTCGAGCCCCAGGCCTCCCTACCTCAGCCCCAGCCTTAAAACAGCTGTCCCCAAGCAAAAAGCAGCCCCTGAGCCCCATGTCCACCAACCTAAAGCCCTGGCCTTAAAATAGAGCTGTCTCCAAGTGAATTTATGAATTATCTTCAGTGAAATTTAACTTGTATATGATATTGTTCAATAATTTCCACATTCTGTTGAATCACCTTTCTTTGGGATGGGTACAAATATAGATCTCTTCCAGTTAGTTGGTCAGATACCTGTCTTCCAAATTTCTTGGCCCAGATGAGTAAGTGCCTCCAGCATGGCACTTTATAACTTGGATTTTATAATGCTTTATTTGAAGAATTACTATAAGAGAGACAGTCTATAAGATATAAGTTAGCTTTCTTTCTCAAAAAGCCAGATTGCCTCACTTCTAAGCAAACTCCTCAAGGATTCCCTATCAAAAATAGAACTTCCACTCTTGACCTAATCCCCCAGCACCTATTTTGGTGGCCTTGTAATATGTCATTATAGCTGGACGGATGCCCTAGCATCAAGACATGAACACAACAGCTTTACACAGATTGCTTAACCAGCATAATTAGAAAGGTTGAATCCATTTAATAAATCCCTTTATATATGTGTACCTCCTGGTGGTCTTGCTTCTCTAATTGAACCCTGATAAACCTCTCAGTATTGGGTCATGAAGCCTTTATATTTCTCTTAATATCTCAAAGCCAATTCCTTTCCTCCATCACCTTAGTTCATATTCCCATCATTTCTTGTTTGAGTGACTGTTTGCTAACTTGTTTCTTTGCCTCCAACTATTTTTGCTTCCTTGTAATTTGTTGCTATGCAGTGAATTACTTAATATGGCCCTTCTAGCCATGGTCTTGGGAGCTCTGGTAGCATAGTGGCTAAGGCACTTGACTGCTAACCAGAAGGCTG